GCTGTGATTAATATGATTGAAACCATTGGAAATGAGCATGAAAGAATGTAATTACATGTCAAAAATGTACAAAGAAAGTAGTGTGTATTTTTTAAAAAGGAAGTACACAAGGCAAATGTCTTCATTAAGGAAAGAGTGATTTTTTTTCCCCAAGTTTCTTCTTAGTTGACTACAGAATACATATTCATTTTAAGGCTTGAGAAAACAGAGAAATAAAAGATAAAAATCAATGCTTCCTTATCTAGCTAAGATTGTTATGAATTTCCTTTTAATGTTATTAAATGTAGATAATACCTACATTATCTACATTTAATAACATTAAAAATGAGATGGTATACTTATATTCGAATTTTGTATCCATTGTTTTATTCTTTTTAAAAGAATAAGCACTCATTATTTTTCTACCATTTTAATTTTTATTTGTTCTTATCAGTTATACATGATAGTAGAATGCATTTTGACATATTATACATGTCATGTATGGAGTATAACTTCTCATTCTTATGGTTATACATAATGTAGAATTACACTGGTCATGTAATCACAAATGCACATAGAGTAGTAATGTCTGAATCATTCTACTGTCTTTCCTATCCCCATTCCCCCCTTCCTTCCCAATCCAATGTACTTCTATTCTTCCCCACCCCACCCCTCTTATTGTGAGTTAGCATCCACATATCAGAGAAAACATTCAGCTTTTGGTTTTGGGGGATTGGCTTATTTCACTTACCATGATATTCTCCAGTTCCATTCATTTACTGGCAAATGTCATAATTTCATTATTCTTTATGGCTGAGTAATCTTCCATTGTTTATATATGCTACATTTTATTTATCCGTTCATCTGTTGAAGGTCATCTAGAATGATTTTATATTTTAGCTATTGTGAATAGAGCTGCTATAAACATTGATGTGGCTGTGTTCTTTTAGTATTCTGATTTTAAGTCCTTTGGGTATAAACTGAGGAGTGGAATAACTGGGTCAAATGGTGGTTCCATTCCTAGTTTTCTGAAGAATCTCCATACTGCTTTCTAGAGTGGTTGATCCAGTTTGCAGTCCCACCAGCAATGCATGAGTGTATCTTTCCCCCCACATCCTCGATAACATTTATTGTTGCTTGTATTCTTGATTGCCATTCTGACTGGAGTGAGGTGAAATCTCAGTATAGTTTTAATTTGCATTTCTCTAACCACCAGGGATGTTCAACATTTTGTCATATATTTGTTGACTGATCATATTTCTTCTTTTGTGAAGTGTCTGTCCAGTTCATTAGCTCATTTATTGATTGAGCTTTTTGTGGATTTTTGGTGTTAAGTTTTTTGAGTTCTTTTTATATCCTGGAGATTAATGACAGCTGGATTCTTATGCTTGATTTTGCTTCTAGTCTACGACAATCCCACATCTTGCCTCTGGAAAACTCAGTTGTACGTGTGTGAGATAAAGAGAGTCTAAGAGGAAAATTCCGTCATAGCGTTAGTATTATTGAATGAGTTTTGACTTTGATGGCCCCTAGTGGGACCTTGAGAACTCTCCATGGGCTCAGATCGTACTTGAGAATCACTGTGCTGATGGCAGACAACCCAGAAGAAAGTGGTAGCAAGCTAATGAGAACCAGGGCAAACCCACAACCCACAGGCGAGTCCAGATAAGCTGTGCTCCTGCAAGTTTCTATCAGTGTTGCTCATATGATGATGGGAATGACAATATCTAGTGACTAAAAGGAGTGCCAAAATATTAAGCAGTAATAGTGTTAAGTTAGGAGGCGGGGGGCCCAGAGGGTGCCCTCAGTTCCCTCCTGATTGGGGGAGTTAGTGTGTTAAATTCAGACGACACCCTCAGATTTACTTAAGAAAGCCAAGGGAAGTTTGCTTCTGGATGAAGGAAGGCCACAATCTTGAGGGTGTCTGAATTTAGTGGAATTTCAAGCACAACCTCAAAAATAACATGAATTTAAAACCAGTGGAGGGAGAAAATGGGGTAAGAATACAAGAAAGAAACAAGGCCCCAATTTACAAAGGCACAAAAGTTTATTTCTTCAGCATAGAAAAAGGAGAACAAATAGGTAGAAGTTAAAAACAAGTCTCTCCATGCTGGTAACCACAGTGCCTGGGCACAGGCACACCTGGCTGTTGACCACAGTGCATGGGCACAGGCACACCTGGCTGGT